GGCGGGAGCCCCGGCCGTGCCGTGCCGTGCCGTGCCGTGCCGTGCCGGGGGAGCCCGGGGAGCCGCGGGTCGGGGGGTGTCCTCGCTGGGGAGGGGACAGCGCGCTGCCTCCGAACGCGGGCCCGCCGAGGAGCCATCTTCTCGGGTATTTGCAGCATCTGCAACGGGAGAGCCCGGTGCGGTTGGTTACAAAGACGTATTGGAGCTAAATGACGGTCGGGGGAATTTCCGGCAAATAAAGAGAAGTTTAGTTTTCGTACTGCGTACTGAAAAATCATGCTGGCCTTCCGCGGTGTATCGGCTTCAGAAATACTAAGAGTTTAACAGTTGGCGTGCACTTTTGACAGTTGGTGCGTCGAGTATATGACAATATAAAGTAAATATTTAAGTCTGCTTAAAACACCTGGAATCCCTTCTTCCTTACTCCTTACACAGCCGCGGTTCTCCGGTCTCAAAAGTGTTGCATAAAAATGTACTTTTTAAAAGTTCTAAATGTCGCTATTTAAACTGGCAGTGTATGTGTATGAGGGAAAAGAATTTTAAATTAACGTGAATTTAAAGAGTTGAAAAGTCTTTAGAGTTAAAAGAAGCTAATTATGCCATTGTAATGACCAATATTAAAACTGGCAGTTTGACGAATTAATGGTGATAGGGTAAGCTTTTTGGTAGATGGGTCGTATTTTCCTCGGTGACTGGTAACAATATATTTAGTGCTCAGTTAAACAAAATCTGAAAGTTTGCAGAGTTCACCTAAGGCAATTAAAATTCTGCAGCCCTGCTGCCATGCCCTTTTAAGGCAGCTTTGCAGTGGCGCTACCACCGCAGCGCATCCTGTTGCAATGTTACGCGTTTGTTGTTACCACGCGTTAGGGATGAAACTGTAGATTGGATGGGGCTTTGCCTGAAAACTGTGCTGATACTAAGCTTGCTCCATTTTGCATGTTGAAAAGACAGATTTTTGCAAGTGAATTCAGGATCTGAAAATCAGACTCTGTTACAAAGGTTTTTTGTCTCTTGGATAAATCATGAGGGGTCAGGGGGTGGAACTATGTCACTCTCACCTATTTTAATTCAATAAAGAAAGGAGGGGAAGCTTTTCTCCTAGGAAGAGTTTGTGATGCATCCAGATGTCGATTTTTTAACTCTGCTTACTTGCCGGGTCTGTGCAGAAATCCTGGTTTCTTGAACGACAGAGAGGGTCTCAGAGCTCACTGAGCCCCTTTTGGACAGTGCTCAGCTCCAGAAGCTCTCTATAGCTTTTGTTCCAGACTGCATTGTTAGCACCTATGGAAGCTGCATTTGACGCTTTGCTTTGTCTGTGGGGCCCGGTTTCTTGTGCTTACCTTGATGCCAGTTTTTGCTTAAGGAGTTCCATGTCTAAAGGTTTAATTGTGTTGATACTGCTTTGCAGAGCATAGATCCCAAAACACCTTTCAGAAGTGCCTGCAGTTATTAACCATAGACGCTTTGTAGCCAAATAGTGTTTTGTGTGACTGTAGTGTTGCCATCTACTCAGCTGCGTATGGCTAAACCGTTGCAAGACATTGGTGTGCATTGGTGAAAATAGCCATGTTTCACAGCTAAGAGGTGGAAGGGATATGTTTGGCAGTGTAGTGGTTCCTTGGGATCACTATGAATGGAAATAAATGTTGGCCGCCTTAGGACACTCGCATAGTTTGTCTCTGGTTCAGTTCCATGCTCAGTAGCAGGCGTGCAGTAGCTGCTGTCCTGTCAGGCTCTGTGTGCGTAGAGCTCCTGTAACCAGCTGCATGTCTGCGGTATCTTGCCAGGACAAGTGGAAAGCTGTGGTGTGGTTTAAAAAACCAGATCTACCGCATATCCCAGAGAGGAATTTGAAGGAAGATGTTCCATTTTTATTGAAGGCGTTGATATAAAGTGCAAAGCCCCTGAAGACCTGTCACGTTACCAGGATGCTCTGATTCTGTGGCAGCCTAGGCTCATTCTTTGAAACAAAGAACTCCCCTGGCCCCCACCCCCTGGCCCTGACCTTCCCACATTTTTCATATTTCGAGATTAGCTCCTTATATTTGTGTTTAGAATGTACTGACGTTGTAGTTTCTGTTCACTTCCTCTCAAAAGTGGAGGTGTGGAGGCTCTATCCATTCAAGACTGAAATTGCAGATTATCCTGGAGCCGTGTGTCTCCAGGCTACTGGGATTTACAAAGTGCTGTGACATTCCTGATGAACTGAGAGCAGGCCAAGATGGCGCAAAGGATTTACAGGTGTCCCAATAACTTTGTCAAAATTTATTTTACTTTTTAGATCACAATGAATGTGGAACATGAAATTAGCCTCTTAGTTGAGGAGATTCGGCGGTTGGGAACCAAAAGTAAGTATTGTAATACCTCTGACCATACAAATGTAGCCATGTTATACATACATGTATGACATACATGTCATACAGATGTAGTCATATTATATCAACCTATGAACTTGGCACATATAATTAAGCAAGCTCAGGTAACCTGAAAATTTGCATATATACTTAATGTTGGACTGTATAGTACTCCCTGCATCCCATCCTTTCAAGTAGTTCTGTTACGAGGTTAAAGCTTTAAGCCTGTACAGCACAGAGAATGTAGGCCTGAAATCCTGCTCCCACTAAAATCAACTGCAAAATAACCCTTTTCTTTAGACTTCCAATACTTGCTACAGCCATCAAAGAAGAAAGTTGCACCTTTTCCTTCCACCTCCTTCCTAGGTAACTTCTGAACTTCAGAATTCATACACTTCAATTCTATTCATCATAGTATTATTTGGAAGGAATTGATCTGTATGCCTAAAACTAATCCAGGAGTTGTAGGTGTAGTCCCAAACTTGCTTAGAAGGTAGCCTTTTCTCTTAAGATTGTTTTTAATTGTTAAAACTCCTCTTTCGTTACAAATATTTGTGCAATCTGTGGATGTGCTACCTGCTCATATACTTCAGTTCTGATGCAATTTCATTCAGTTCCATTTGTTTTTCAAAACCTAAACGGATATGTGTTTCTTGAGTTTTGTATGACTGCATCTGCCTTTTAGGAATAAGCTAGCTAACCTTGACATATATTTTAAAATTCTTGCTTTGTGTGAGAAATGAATTTATGTTGCAGCTTTTTCAATGTGAACCTTAATATTAATAAGTGAAAAGAAATTATTTGAAAAAAAATATTTTAACACTTTAATTATTTAAAACTAATTTCCTCCTTGTGCTTTGAAGAGGTTCAATAGCCTGTGCTGGTCATAGGTTTCAGAAAGTCATCAGTAAAAATAAACATATCAGATATGTGGTCCTTGATATGAGTCTCTGGAAAAGAGGGAAATTCATACCAGGCAGGAGTTCTGCCTACTATTTATTGTCAGCATTCATAATATGTCCCCAATAAATTGGGAATCACCATGGGGTTTACTTTCAACGTTCTGACTGCATGTCACTTTGTTTCCCCAGTAATCTCCTAACTGAAAGAAAATCTACATGTGTTTTCATGTTGTATCTTTGATTTAGATGCTGATGGACAAGTGAGCGTGAAATTTGGTGTGCTCTTTGCTGATGAGAAGTGTGCCAACCTCTTTGAAGCCCTAGTGGGAACTCTTAAGGCTGCAAAACGACGGAAGATTGTCACTTATCAAGGGGAGCTACTTCTACAAGGTGTTCATGACAACGTTGATATCATGCTGCTGCAGGACTGATGCAGTATTTCGGCTATGCATTAATGGAATTATTTGAGACAGTGACTTGCAACATCCTCTGAATAAGGCTGATCATTCTAAGGTGTTTTGATGTATTTTCTATATCTTTATAGTCAAAATGAAACTGTCCTTTTTGGAAAACATTCCCTTTTGTAATTCTTCCTAAAATGGTACTGTATGTGAGTAAGGTAAAAGATGCCAGATCTCTCTCTTTTTTTTTTTTTTTTTTTTTTTTTTTTAAATCTCAGGTAATGCCATTGAATGTCTGGTGGTTATTTTCAACATATGAAGAAGGGGACTGGTAATTTAATGTTTACAAATCAAAATGTGCCATGAACGTATAAAATAAAAGCACATACTTAAATTTATGTAATTCTTAGTGCTGCTGTTTCTGGTTTTATTTGCAATCTGAAATGAAAGCAAACTGAATTCCTGTAAGGAACATAGTTAAGTAACTGTACAGAAGGCATGACAGTGAGACAGAAATAATTTTGCAGCATGATTCAATTGAAGAATGACCGTCCTTCGGAGTGACCAGATTGTGCACAAAAAGCCATGAATGATGGATGTACCTCATTCATCTCTGGTAGTGTAATATGCTTTCATTGTTTTTGTCATCTAGACTTGAAGGAAGTGGGTGAGGACATCCCTGAATGCTTTCAGGCAGTGTTAACCAGAAGATGGTACAGCAGCTTCAGGTTGTGATTATTTTCCTCACAGAAATCATACTTTCTCTATATCACTCCAGGCAGAAAGTGGGAGGGGAGGAAAAAAAAGCCTTTTTGATTGTGTTCTAGCTTACTCTAATTCTTCTTAGCAGGTAAAAATGCTCCCTCCAGTAGGGCGAAAGAGTTGCTGCATGAGGAAAGCAGCAGTGGGTAAGCGAACTGCTTACTGCTATGTGCTTCCACTCTGCAGCTGCAGCTCTTAAAGTTGCAGGACGGGTGAATTTCCCTTTACTTAGCAGCTTTTTACAAGTGCAAAAAGCTTGAAAAGTGTCTCCTTATTTCCAGATACAGGAAATGCACACATGGTTATGGAATCTCTACAAAGCTGTGTAATTCCAGCTGCTGCCCCTTTCATCTTTGTTTGCTCTGCTTCGCACAACAGGAAAACAACTTAAATCCTGTGTGCAAACAGATCTGGGCTGCCTCTGCCTGTGCTGGCCCCAGAATCTGGAGAGCAGGGAAGTGATATGCAAAGAAACTTGAGCTGTCTGGGTCCAAGCCAGCTGGAGCGGAGAAGCAGAGCAGGAACTCAGCACAGCTTACTGGCTCCAGTGCCCTCTTACTCCAATGCAGCTATTCTGATTCTAGACCTGAGCTGACAAGTGCCTGCCCCCCCTGCACCCCACAGGTGGAAAGAAGGACCAAGGCCAAGCCTTCTGCATTAAGGGTGAGACTAGACAGGTCTGCATTAACCAATAACCACAGGTTTTTTTCCCTCTCTCTATTTTGTCGAAAGCCTGAGGCGTTGTCTGGGTTCTCAGGATAGCCTGAGTACGCTGACAGATACCAAGTGCTTTGTGATTGTCTGAGATGCCGGTTTTGGTATGGGAGAGCACCAGCCTGCCCCAGCCAGGATGTAGTTCTCTGTGCATGTTCACGACGGTTTTAAGGACTGAAGGGGCCTCAGTCTTGAAAATTTAGTAAAAAAACCAAAAAACCCTGGTAAATTTAAGGCTCAGTGCTGAGTTAGAGCTGAGATGGGACTGTGAAGAGACCTTTATGTCTGTCTTGTTTTGGACTTATTCTCTTAACAATGCTAATAAATGTATTCAGGGCTTCTGGGAACACAGTGTAGAAAGAGACAGAGAAACTTGGCACTAAAACAAATTTGTAACAACCAGAGGAGAATATAACTGCCCAGGGGAGTTGAGATTCGTTTTCCCTCTGTTTCTGAAAGCAGAACAGGAACAATAGGAACAAGGATGTATATCCAAGAGCTTGCCCTCAGTGAAATGCTTAATGTGTCTACTGGCCCCAGAATCATGTAGGCTTTCTTCACTTCAGGTTATATACAAGCACCGTTGACTTTATTTCTAAATACTTTTTTTCAGAGAAAATCACATATGTGGGACCACACCTCTGTTAAGGAAATAATTACCACAGCAAATGGCGTGGACACAAGATGTAGTTCCTGGAGCGCTTAACACAATAATAGAAGAGCTAACTATGGGGAAGGCCTTACTTATTCTTGTAAACAGTAGCACAGTCAGCAGTCTCCTGTGATGGATTCATGTCCTTGCCAGCGATGGGTCTGAAGGAAGTTTGTAGGTCAGCCAGGAGCACCAGTGATTCCAAAATATCAAGTCATTCTCCTGACTGCTGGGAAGTAGGAAGGTACAGAGATCTTTGACAACAGCAGAAAAGAATTGTCAGCAGGGTTGTTACCTGCCTGTGACAATGCTGGGAAATTAGTGAAAGAGTAGCTTAGCAAATTCAGTCTCCATCTGCATAAAATCTGAGAGCATGGTAGAACCTTGAAGAGAGGTTAGGTGAGCTCCAGGGCAAATCTAGCTGGTACAATTTAAGATGTTACCATTATGTCTTCAGCAGGGATTGTTAGAGTAACTGATGGAGTGGAGTGTACACACTCACCTCACCTCACTTCAGCTGTTACCATGCAAAATCCAGTGACTGGAGATAAATGTGCTTTTCAAAGTGGTTTTGACTAAGCGGTGAAGGCGCTGAGGTGCAGATTTGCGTAACCTCTGGCGAGGGGTGGTAACATCTTAAACTTCACAGCTGTTTCTCTTGTGAGCACGGGTTTTTGCTGGAAACTTGAGCAAAGGAAGGGTTGAAATGTATGCAATATTATCTTTTACATGCCTCTTATGTTGGAATGAATTTTGAAACTGCATGTTGTGTTTTGCTCTCTTCTCATCTCCCTTCCAAAGCTTTGCTGGAGGTGTTCTTTCTACTTCAAGGGATTTCGTCAGTGACAGCAATGTTGCTTTTGCCATTCATATCTGTGTAAAGTTGGTTTTCTTTACTTAGTTTCTTTGTCACAAAAAACACTTGAAGGAAAGAACAAGAGTAAGAGCAGGAAGTTCTTACATGCTGAAAACTGATTATATTGCCACTGATACTTAGCAGTTTTATTTTAAAATAGTTGGATGTTTCATAAATAGGCTGAGATTCTCTTCTACTCCAGCAGCACAAAGTGACTATTAAGTATGTTTAAGTAGTTGCAGAGCCTTTGCTAAGATGACGCAGTGTGAACCAATGAATGCCGCAGGACTGGCCTTATGGTTCCATATCAAAACACTCACCATTAATATCTTTGTATCACCTCCACTTAGTATAAAAGTACAGTCCTAAAAGTTTGGTCTACACCCTGCAGCACAACTCATGTATTCGGTACTACCTGAAAATCCTCTGTCTGGTAATTGTATGATGGGAATTGTGGTTTCAAGGACTTACAAAAGGAAAAAAAGCCCAATGTACATTTCTTTTGGAAGCTGGCAAAGTCAATAATTTTGCACAATTCATGTTCTTGTTCATGTCCTTCTCAAGCAAATACGGGATGTTTGGTCTGTAATGGATCTTTTTTTCTGATTTGTAAGCGATTCATTCCAAAGCCAGCCATGAAGGGTAGAACTAAATATGAACAAAGCAATTTGAAGGGAAACAAACCCTTAGACCAAGCAATATGTTTCAGTGCTCTGACAGTGATTTGGAACAGGTGATCTGGCTAGGTTGAAGAATATGAGTTTGGTGACCCAGTGACATATTTAAGCCTGAATACCTTTCAGGACAAAAGTCTGTGTGACATACTTTGTTTTGCAACCCAAAAGATGATGATTTATGCCGAAATACTCTGGGTTTCTTTCTGCTTCCCTACAGACCTGTCAATTTTTACTTTGGAAACTGTCCAATAAACTTATGAAAAAGATCCAAACTGTCCCCTTTGGTGCATTTATTACGTACCAGAGAAAATGACATGGACAAAAGAACTGCTTAGTGCTCCCCAATACATGCAGACAGGATCCAAGTCAAGACTGTTAATGTTACAGGTGAGGCTAAAAAACAATGGTCTGTCTATGCTCAAAGGTCCAGCACCCATACCAACTTCAGTCTCTGAAGGATTTGATTTTCATGGTAAGGTATCTTCAGTGTTTTGATCTGAAATGGCATTCTCAAAGAAAATCAATAGCAGGTTGAAGAGTTGCTCCGGTCCAATGATTTAAAGGAATCTTTATGGTCAATATTTCCAGGTACTCCTTTTTTTAAAAAAAAGACTGAATGGGTTAGTTAAGTGTAAGTGCTTGACAGTGTTTCTAGAAAGCCAGTGTATTTAAGATCTAGTTACGTAAACTGCTTAATGTGAAGTTGTTCTAATAAAGTTTTCCTGAGGGTGGCAGTTCAGTTTAGTTCTGCTACTCCGAGTACAGCTTTAGCTACAAATGCACTGTAGATGCATATTTAAGCAGCTGAAGTGAGTCTCCTGGCAGGTATTTTGAATAGAAGATGCATTATCTTGTGGTGTAGCCTAGATGTCATCGCAGATTATGCTTATCTCCACCAGAGCTCCTGAGCGACTTGGGGAGGTTAAATACCAGGCTGGTAACCTGGGGAGGGAGTAGTGTGATACACAAACACTCTCTAGACTCTTGTCAGATCAGATCCAGATCAAACCTCTTTTCAGAGAAATGCTTAGAGTCAGACCTGAGCATTTTCCAGTACAGCGTTTTCACAAATATAGCAGCATTATGTCCATTACCTTGCTCCTTTTTGGAGCTTATTCCTGTACAACCACTACAAGCTGAGTGACACTAAGACTCTTGCGGCCACCGTGCCATGCTTAAAGCTGTTCTCCAGAGAGGACAATAGTAGGTACCATGTCTTTGTATATGCATATTATGCATATGTATTGGTATAACACGTACTCAAAACCTGACTATTTTTTCCCAGTGGGGAAACGCTCAGTAAATGACAATTATGTTTGAATGGGAATATAGCGAGCTGCGTTTTCTGGTCTTTGCTAAGTCTGCTAAACACCACAGAAGATCGCATTAGAATAATTGAGAGTTTGTATCTTGCAGAATTAGGTCTTTTGTGAAGCTTTGGTGATAGAAGACATATTGTTGCCAGGTCTTTATTAGTCAAGAAGCCTTGGTCTGTCTCTGCAGCTAATGTTCTAAAAAGCTTCCTTTATAAAGTTGTATTTTGGAGCACAGTATGATTTTCTTGGAAATCTGCTTTCAGTTTTCTTAGGAAAAAAAAAAAAAAGGCATAAAGGCAACAGCAGTTGAAGACACTCGCCACCATTCAGCAGTTCAGCACTATGTAGCGGCTGACACAGAAGCCAAGATCCAAACACAGAAGTAATTGCATTATAGGTATCTTCAGGGGCATTGG